TTCTCCAATAAAAAGGATATTTTCTCACTATACAATTGTAGGAGCAAAATAGATATGGTAAATTCATTGTTTAGTTTTTACAATTTCATTTTATTTGTAAAGCAAATTATTTATTTACAATACATACGTTGAGCCGTGAAAACATTTGAAAATTTGGAATTTCAAAACCATTGGAAATTTTATTTTATTTAAGAAATTTTTTTTTTTTTAATTAACTTTTTGTTGCATGTATACCATTAAAGATTAAAAAAATATCAACTGCTACAACTGATTAATTTAATAATGATAATAATAATAATAAATATGATTACTGATAACTTTTTTATTAATTTATGTATTATAAAAAAAAAATCACTTAATCAATAAATTCAGTTAAAAGTAATTAATTAAATACCACAGTTGTGTGAAAAAAAATTACTCCAATATTATCAGGCATCATTCCTATAATATTTTGGGAATCATGCCGATATTACAGTTATAATTATAGGTATCATTCCCATAATTATAGGAACTATTCCCATAATTATAGTAACATTTCCCAAAAATTATGGGTATAATTCCCATAATTTAAGTAATCGCTCCTAAAATGGTATAGGAAAATATTTCATTAAAATTATAGGAATGATTTCCACATTTTTCTCTCCGTGTAGGTGTCATAAAGTTTAAAATTTTAAAATTTGAACTTGAGTTATTGATAGATGTCATTATGTTTTATTTATTTGAAATTACAACACTCGAAAGAATATCAATAAAACAGCAACTGACCAATAAATATAGCAGTGGTCAAGTGAGCTAGACAGCATTAAATATAAATTAGGACTAAAATTTTTAGACATTAAAATCGGGTCAGTCTATGAAACCCGACAATTTCAGTGCTCAAAGAGGTGTGCGTGAGTAAATAAGATTAAAAGCACACAAATCTTCATTCAGACGATTTTTTGTAATATTTAATAACAGCAAACTCGATGATTCAATTTATTATAATGTGCACATAACTGATGGGTGCCCTTCAATGTTATTATAACTGTAAATATGCATAATATAATGCATGACATGCATAGGCGTGTTGAAGATTATTTATATTTAATTTCATTTACTCAGCTATTGAAATATTCTCGATTCAAGATAATAAAACAATAACAATACTTTTTATGGACTTGAAAGTATTAAAAATTGAATTAAATAAAAACTACAAAACAATAGACAAAGAACAAAGAATTTGTTTTAAAATAAAACTCATTCGTAGTTGTTACGACTTTTACTTTTTTACGCCTACATGAACAATGCAGCATTTAATAATGAATATTAAAATGATATAAATATTTGAAATTGAATTAAAAAAAAAAAAAAAGAAAAATTTAATCTGCAGAGTCAAATCGGATTATAAATAAAATATTTCATACTTTGCACGGAATATTTTCCGACTTATTACAAATTTTAATATAGTAATTATTTTAGAATATATAAAAGGATTAAAGTATAATTTAAAAGTTTGATGGGTAGTTTAAAAGCTGTTTAATAAAACATAAACTACGTATTTGACTGCCGAAAACAGGTTTTTTAAATATTCTTTTATGTGCAAGAATGTCCACGCATGTTACTGCGTTTTTTATTTTTTGTTTATTTTATATGGGACCTCACATCCACAAGACTGCAGAATGTAATTGAATAGAAAAAAGTTTTATACAACGGTATAATTAACGCGTTATATACCTTTTTTTTTTTTTTGTCAAATCCAATTACAATTTATGATCTTGCGTATTTAAACTCAAGAATTATTTTTTAAAATTCAAACTTTATTTATTTATTTATTTGTCAAATACTTTTATTGTATATAACTTCCACTCTAGAGATTTAGTAAGATTGTTTTCAACAAACTTATAAGAGAAGTATTTGTAATAAATTAACAAAGAAACTCGAACGTATTCCAATAAAAGAAAAAAGTTTTTGAAGTTACTTTTTATTACTTCATTCGGAAAATTTATGCGTTCAAAAACCAAGAAAAATATAACTGAAGATGATAATTATCAATAAATTTACAAATTACTTAAAAAATTTCTTAAGTGACGTTAATTATTAAACTTCTCTTAAAATTCTTACATTTGTAATTTAGATTTTAATTAAAAATAATAAAAAACTGCAATTGATAAATTAATGATATTCAATAATCATAAATAATAATTACCTCTTCAGCAAATTCAAAGTCGCCGTCGAATTTTCGTTTGCCTTCGGTCCTGACAATTACAATAAAAAATGCCGTCACGAGGAACAAACCACGCAGTAACCGCCTCATAATGTTTTTCACTCCAACAAACTTTCAAGTTTTTTTTTTTTTTTAATTCTCTGTAATTTTATATACAGGATAAAAAATATATTTTAGAATAATGTGTCACTTATGGTACCAACAATATCATACATAAATTAATGAATTTTTTGTAATAAACATGTATAGATTGTATTTAGGAAATCAATCGTAGCAGAAAGGACAAAATAATAAATCTGAATTTAAACAGATTATTTATTCGTCTTGTTAGTGATATTGTCTTGACATACTATTTAGAATGGGGTAATATATGACAGTACTGATAAAACCGGAAGAATTAGAGTTGTTATTGATACACACGCGACGACAGTACACGCACGACGTAGACGTACTATAACACGTATATGGTAAAAGCCAGCGACCCCGATTGTGCTGTGTTACTCTCCAGGAGTTGAGAAAATAATGACTGTACACTGTACGCTACGAGAAGAGAAGGGTACGGTTACATCGCCGACGCACAAACACACACTTGACGACCAATAGGTCGAATTCCAGAACAGGTAGAAGCGAGACGTCAAGGGTAGGAGAATAAGATGAAACGAGATGACTAGACTCGATCGAATGTGCTGTAGATAAAGACCGTCAACGAGAGAGTGTGGATGTTGGTTAGTCTACGTAGGGACGATCCTCATTTCACCCTACGCCATTTCCTCGGTTAGTTTCGCGCGAGCGCGGCGTCGTCCGCGATCCAGTCGATATTCGACACAACTAATGTTTGGATTTTATTCTTTCAATTTTACTTTTATTTATTTTATATAAGCTAATATATATTTATTTTCATAGCTAAGATTAATATAAATTTTAATTCCAACGGGCTTGTAATTATTTAAAAATAATAGAATATTTTGATATTTTTTAATTTATTTAAACTTGCAAAAGTTTTTCTTTTATTTTTTTTAACAAATGCATGTCACAACCCCTTGATATTTTAACGGAAAAATAGTTCAATAGCGAAATACTTAGCTAGTATAATTTTTCTCCTGTAGTGCAATAAATACAGAGATAAAAATAGAAAGAGATAATAATGAATCAGGAGATGAATTTTTTTACATAGCAGAAGATATTTAAGCGCATAATAAATATATGGGAAAATGAGAATTATTATTCAGCAAATAAACTATCTCAGATGTTATCTTGCTCCGTTCTTCGTGTTGAAAACACAAATATTCTCACTTGAGATGCACGTAATGCCACTTATCAACTGTAAAATAAACATTAATTTAGTTTTATAATTGATTGAAATCTTAAATTGAATACTTAAATTGATTAAGCGACTAAATTTGTTGAATTTTAATGATTCTTACCAACGGGCTCTAAACTTTGAGATTCGCATGGTTCAGGTGCATTTTTTAAAATTTCCTCAGCAGCACTCACATCAATTTTAAATGGGCTACCTTCTACAGTTAGGTTTGCACTATAATTTAAATATGAAGTTAAAAAGTGTTTTCATAGGAAAAAAAAGATGAAAAAACTTGCCATGATATTCCCGGAGTTTCACTATCACGACTGATTAGATTTTTCCAATGCTCGTGTACCTCTTCAATAATGTGCAATGCGAAATCACGGGGCTTCGCCTCACCATTAAAAGCAAATTGGTTTTCTGGTTTACCGTCAGGAATTTTATAAATCTTAAACCATTCGATTGTTGCTTTTAACAAGCCTGGATAGAATTTATCAACGTCGGCAATATCTGAAAATAAACTCGTTTAATTATTCAAATGTATGAATTCTTCATTTGTATGATAACAGCATTATGAGTTTATTTTTCTTATGAATAATTTATTTTTAAAAAATATTTACCATTCATTTGTTCAGCAAGTGGATCATTAACGTCGATTACTATAACTTTCCAATCAGTTTCACCTGCAAGAAAATGTTTTTTGATATTTTATTTCATAAATAATAAATCTTGTAGAATGTTAGCACCTCGGAAATTAAAAACCTTTTTTTGTAATTTGATTTTTATAACAAGCAAAAATTAATTAAGTCTTACCTTCATCGATAAGAGCTACAGTTCCTAAAACTTTTACTTTCAATACGTCACCTCTTTGAGCCACCTTAGGAAAAACAGAAAAATATAATTTCATTATTTAACAAACACTTAATTAAATACAAAAATAAAGTTATAAATTAAACTTATTCATTACCCGGTATCCAATTTCAAGTACATCAATTGGATCATTATCTCCTTTGAATCCAGTAGCTTCGTCTAATACTTCTGGATTCTCCCAAGTCTGTAATAATTAATACAATTGAATTGTTATGATTATTATTTTAAATGCGACTAATTATTTTCAACAACACTTGAATAAATTAAATAAAAATGTTCTCTATTTTACCTGGGGCAAAGCTCCATAATTCCAAATATACCCGTGATGAGGGAAGCAATTAGCGACGAAACGAAGCTTTCCATTTTTAATATCCTGTTTAATAGGATTCAAAGGTTCTTTTAAATTTATTTCCATTTTAGCATTGGTCCATCTTGGCACTTCAACCACCATATGAAATACTTTATTGGCTTCATTTGCATAAAGAGGAATGTCGTGCATAGGTGAGATTGCTGTTTCTTCATTTTCTGTAATAAAAAAATAATAAGTATGTTACTGAATTATTTTTTTTGCTATCTCACATTTTTAATTAACGACAGTTCACAATTTTTTTTTTATATTTTATTCAATCTTAGACAGTTAATAACACTTTTTTTTTTTTTTTTTTTTTTCAATCTAACTTTGACATTTTAATATTAGATTTAAATTAATGAGGAAAATAATTATTCGAATAAATGTAAATTGTAATTGTAAAGAAATGAAAAATTAAAAAAGTTTAACAGTATAAAGAGATTGATACGAGGGAAATAGTGTGATACTATGACAATATATTTCAAGTTTATAAGATATGAGAATATTGTGTCAGATATTACGTTTATTATCTTATTGAAAGATTCTCTTATTGCGGAAATTACGGGTATAGCAAAACCGGTAGTACTGAATCAATCATTATCTCTTGACCTCATGGCTTATAAAAAAATGTTATTGTATTATAACGTAATGCTATTGGTTAATGCAATAAAAGGTTATGACCGTGAATAAATGATAGTACTTACTGAAGTAAATTTTAAAGTCGGTTGAATTGGGAGCACCGCATTCCACAGTCGTGAAAGACATTGTTAATTTAGGTATTTTGTGCTTCACTAATTGTGTATTACAGCTGCTTAAAAGTTGTTTAGCAAGTAAACTAAGCGGAAATGATAATTTGTTCAAACCGTAACTACGAAACGTGTGCAAGCACGTCAAGGCTGCCATCGCGACATCTAACGACAATAGACAATACTAGATTGTTTATGATACTAAAGTTAGCCGACATTTTCAATTTTTTAATTATTTTTTATTTATTAAATAATAACTAAAAAATATTTTTATAAAATTGCACTGATAGTTTTTAAAGTTTTTTACAGGTGACATTTTTTTTTAATTTTTTTGTAATAATTTTTTCAATAAAAAAAAATTCTAAAAATTTTCAACTGTCGGCTAACTTAATTTTCATAATAGATTGTTTCCATTTGTTTTTTATTTTTATTATTATTTGTTAACTACTTATCAGTGACAAATAAAACAAATAGCATTACAATTTTTTAAGTTTTTATAAATCCATATTTGATAAATTATCAACCTAATAACAATAATCATTCATCTTTAAATTAATATTATTAATTATAAACCATTACGCGCATGCTTAAGAATTAAAATTCTAGGACTAAGAAGTAATTAATTAATCTTAATCACCAACTTTTTTCAGCTTTTTGTAATGATTTTTATTTTTTAATCTGATTATTAATAATTTTTTTCGGTAGATTTATTTGTAAATTTAGCTATTGTAGCCGGTTTCATATCAGAATTTCAAGAAAATGTTGTTATAATTGGCTAGTTAATTAAGGGAGAACACCATTGTGACGATCGAAAAAAAAAAGAGGTGATTTTCGGGAATTTTTTTAACAAGGAAAGTAAAGAAATTTTGGGATCGGATTTTTTTTATTTTATTAAGGGTACATTGAAGATTATTACCCTAAATTTTTATTGAAAAATATTTAATTATTACAAAGTTATTAACAATCTCGTAGAGCACTAGAAAAAATTTCCCCCTCCATAGTCGGTTCGATAACTCAAAAACGGATCATCTGAAAATAAAATCCCAAATTGCTTTTTAATCAGTAAGGATGTAGCACCTACGGAATTTTGAAAATTTTAATTTAAAAAAAAATGGCGACTGATTGAAAATTTTCTCA